AAAAAAAAAGAAATCAAATGATGTATTGCATTGGGCAAATCTGCTGCAAAAAACCAAAGAAGAATTGATGCTGTTGAATTATGGTGTTGGTGAAGAATATTGAATATCTCATGGACTGCCAGAAGAACAAATGATATGTCTTGGAAGAAGTACAGCCAGAATGCTCCTTAGAAGCAAGGATAGCAAGACTTCATCTTACGTACTTTGGACATATTTTCAGGCAGGACCGGTCCCTGGAGAAGGACATCGTGCTTGGTAAAGTAGAGGATCAGCGAAAAAGAGGAAGACTGTCAAAGAGATGTATTGGCACAATGGCTGTAAAAATGTGCTCAAACATAGCAATGATTGTGAGGATGGCACAGGACTGGGCAGTGTTTCATTCCGTTGTACATAGGTTGCTATGAGTTGGAAATGACTTGACAGCATCTGTCTTAGGCTGGGTTCTCTAGAGAAGCAAAACCTGTGAAGTGTGTAGATAGATAGATAGACAGATAGACAGACAGACGATAGATAAGATAGATTAGGTAGATATATATATATATATACATATATGTCAAGGAAATGGCTCACGTTGTAGAGACTGGAAAGTCCCAAGTACGTGGGTCAGGCAACTGGCTAAAGGGTTCCTCTGACTCATGTAGCTGCAGGGTCTGACGAATCCAAGATGGGCAGACCAGACCCCAGGCTTCTGGCTCATGGTCTGTGGATGCTGATGAATGAATCCAAGATTGGCAGGTTAAGATGGCAGGCTGCTGGCTCAAGTCTCAAGAACTGGAGGTCAGATGATGATGAGCTGGATGCAGGATCCAGAACGAGCAAAAGCCAGTGAGCTTTGCCAGAAAGTCCACATATATTGGATGCAGGCCACACCCCCAAGGAAGCGCCCTTTCAACTGATTGGCTGCTCATAACATCTCATCACGGAGATGATTACATCATTAGATAACTCCCAAACTACATCATAACTGCCAGATCACTGACAATCATGCCCCATCCAAGTTGACACGCAACTGTAACCATCACAGCACCTAACAACAAGAAGGAAGGGGAAGTTTCTGTAAACAGTCAGTTCTTCATAGTTGAAAGTCTCAGAAGGATCACTGCATATATACACAGCCAAGCAGATAGATTATGAAATGAAGTATAGACTGGTGACTGTAAATCTGTGTTTACTGCTTTTGTTTGTTTATTCCTCCTTATAAACATTATTAGAGTTCACTGAACCAGGGTTATGCAATGTATAAAACAATACATGCCTACAGTCAAATTGTAGCCATGCCCAAGGTAATACCGATACAGGGTAAATTCTATTATTTGAATGGAGAACTTGGTCAGGTTTCAGATAAGCAGAAGTTATTAATAGCTGGGAGGGACAAGATGAATTTTCAGATAACTGAACTTTAGTTTCATTTAGTTTTAGAAATAGAAAAGTTTTACTAGATAAACCTTCCTCCTTGAACTAGAGTTGTAAAAAGAAGAACAGGCCTTTACTGTGCTTTCCATAAAAAACTTGAATCAGAAATCTATTAAAGAGCAATGTGTTAGCTTTCATAGACTTAAATTTTTGCTTTCATAAAGCAAGAAGTTATTCAGTCAAGAAGTTTGTATAATGTCTGTTATGGCCTTATCTGTATATGGATGTACTTAGGAGGGATACTGATCGATATTTCAAATTTTTCTCAGATAATAGCCATTGCTTTCATTAATTATTGTTTCTTTGAAGTGTTTAAGCTTATTGAACTGTATAAGGTTTCTCTGTTCTCCAAAATCAAATAAGTTTGTTAAATTTAATCATTTTCTAATTGCTTCTTACACTTGGCTTTAGAAATGCTGTAAAAGATAAATTTGCCGTTTTCTCCCATTATGCTTCATCCTGCTTGGCTTTGTTTCCTACAGAGGCCTATTGCGTAGTATTAATTGCCCATACTTTGGAGTCACAGGGACCTGTATGTGAAGCTCAGCCCATCACTGTGGAGCTGTGTAAGCTAAGGCAAATTATTTCATGCCTGAGCCTTGGTTTCCTTATCTGTAAAATGGAGATGATAATTGTACTGTCCTCACAGGTTTTTTTTTAATTTTTTTTTTATTTTTATTTTTTGAGGGTTAAATACGTTAAAAGCATGTCAGTCACTTAACACAGGGCCTCACATGTAGTAACAGTTAGTGACTCCCAACTGTTATTGTTTGTCTTCTGTTATTATAATTATTGCTTTTGAAGTGTGGTTATAATTTATTCTGAAATCGGGTTCCTAGATTAATCAGAATTTATTTCACTGAAGTTGATCACCTGAGCTCCTTTGACCCTGGTGCCCCTTGTCTGTCTCACCAGAGAAGGAACCCAGGTGATCACTGTCTATGCCTATTAATTTCAGGATGCTTTAGGAAGCCTCTGGAGAAGCAGAGGATTAAGGAGCCCAGTTCTGAAATTAAAAATCTTTGGTTCAGATCCTTGCTCCACCTCTAGTTAGTGAGATAACCTTAGGTAAATTACTTAATCCCTCTAGGTCTCATTTCCTTATCTATAAAATGGGATTAATAATACTCAGTTCTCCATAAAGGAGCCCTGGTGGTGCAATGGCTAAACCCTCAGCTGCTAACCATTTGTTCCTCAGTTTGGACCCACCAGCAGCTCTGCGGGAGAAAAAGACTTGGTGATCTGCTCCCGTAAGGATTACAGCCTAAGAAGCCCTATGGGGCAGTTCTACTGTGTCCTGCAGGGTCACTATGAGTTGAAATCGACTTGGTGGCACCCAACAACAACTCTCCATAGGATGTCATGAAGATTAAATGAGTTAAAAAGTGAAACTACTTAGAACACCATCTGGCAGAGTACACACTCAATAAATGTTAGCTGTTAGTGTGGCTGCTGCTGGTTTTATCTGTTTTATTATCCAAGGCTGTGTTTTTAACAATGTTAATTTGTAAAATAATAATATCCTAATTAGATTTCTCAAACTGTCTGTATCATCACTTTGAGATCCAGTTCAATTCAAGAAACAATTATCAAATGCTGTGTGTTAAGTGCGGCAGAGGGCATGGGTCAGTAAGATTGTGCCCTACTCTCCAGGAGTTTCTGACTTGGTGGGAAAGAGGGGTAACTATTACACAGGGAAAAATATTGCTGTGCTTTTGATAACTGATAAAAGATAGCTCAAAGGAGGGGGTAGAGTAATTCTGGGTGCTGGGGAGCATGTTGGGAAGTCAGGTAAGAGGACAGGCTTTTCCCAGTGAAGTGAATAAATGAGAAAAGATCCAGAAGTGGGAAAGTACACGGTACTTGAGAAAGAGTACCTGGACAACCTTGATTAGGATGAATTAGTTGGGAGAGGCACAGCGTAGGCAAGGACATGAGGAAGTGAACTATTACTGTAACACGTAAAAAACAAGGTGAAACAAAATTGGCAAGACAGAAGCCTAAGGAGGTGGAAGAGGTGAAGTTGGCTTAAAATTTTTAACTTTAGTAAGTTCTGGGGAGCATAGTGATACCATTAGAGAGATAAGAAGGATGGGAAGGAGGTTAGGTTTTTGGGAGAAAGATAAGTTCTAGTTTGGACCTGCAGAGATGTAGGCAAGAGCCTAATTATGGTCCTGCCATTGTTGGAGGCCTTCTTAAAAACTGCTGTGTGAATGGAAAAGGAAAAGGCAGATACTAGGACGGTATGATTCCCAATAGATGCACGTTCTCATCAGGTGGCAAGGTCCCTACAATTGAAGCCTTGTCTTGTAAGTGACTTCTTTAGCCAGTCAGATCGCCCTTAACCCTCCTTCTCTGGCAGTTTTCTCAATTAGTCTCTGAGCACAGGCCATGCCACTGTCATTCTGCGTGATGTGTGGTGTAACCCCTTTTAGGTTTCATTGGCATTTGAAATACAGATAATTGGTTTTTAACTTAAAAAAAAAAAAAAATCTCTATTAAGTTGTTTCATGAAGTAGTGCTGCCAGAGTAGAAATAGGAGAAACACCCTTCACCCTCCCCTAACCGGATGTGCTTTGAATCATGTAGCTTGGTTGTTTCACCTCTACTGAAGGAAAAAAAAAGGTTCTAAGTGAAGGAGTAAGAGGAAGAAAAGAGGTATATTAATGATGAAATCTTTACTGACCTAGAGAAATGCATTGCTTGGTGAAAATAGGTATAATTTTTAGATGCGAAAGAAAAGATTTTACAAATAAGCAGTACTTCCGGATCTATGCGAATAGCTGTATCATTCACAATACATACGGTAGTAATCATTTGCCACTACCAAGAAGGAAGTATGGGACATCTAGAAAGCTTTTAGATGCTGGGTCGTGGTCTTCATTATTATATTTTCTTTGAGTTAAGAATTTCTGTTTTAGTCTTTGGAGGACAGCGTTGTAGGACATTTTGAGCAAGAGGCAAGACTTTCGTACTTTGCGGATTGTTATCGCCCTGCAAGACCCTAGGCAACTTCCTCTTGCCGCCCACAGCAGAATACGGAAACCCTGCTGTATCAGGCCACTTCTGCAATTACAGTCACAATTAAAGGGGACCCTTCTGTCACACTACATGCTTCTGTTTTAAGACGTTCTTTGCATTTGAAAATGTGTCTTTTGTGGTGGCGTGCCCAGCTGACCCTCCGTCTCTCCTCTCTCTTTGCTGCCCTGCAGTGCTGCAGTTGAAGCTCCAGCAGCGCCGGACCCGAGAAGAGCTGGTGAGCCAAGGGATCATGCCGCGTAAGTGCCTCTCTCAGCATGCTTTAGAGTTGCTATGAGGACAGACTGTGGGCACACAGTGTGCCATGGGAAACACCTAACATAAAACAAAGGTAGCAGGCTTTATTTCCTACTCTTTCTTTCTCCTGCTTTTCCAAGCTCAGAGACTCTTAATCACTAAATAGTTCAGTTAATGGCCCTATTTGATCAAGTTCAGTGAAACCAACAGCATTAGGTTTAAAGTGTGTGTTTTAGTTATCTACTGCTGGTATAACAGAAATACCACAGATGGTTGACTTCAACAAACAAATTTATTTTCTCACAGTTTAGGAGGCTAGAAGTCTGAATTCAGGGTGCTGGCTCTAGGGGAAGACTTTCTCTCTCTATTGGCTCTGGAGGAAGGTCCGTGTCCCTTTAGCTTCTGCTCCCGGGTAATCTTCATGTGGCTTGGCATCTCTCTTCCCCCATCTCTATTCTGCTTGCTTGTTTAATCTCTTTTATATCTCAAAAGAGATTGACTCAAGATACACCCTACACTAATCATGCCTCATTACCATAACAAAGACAACCCATTCCCAAATGGGATTATAACAGCAGGCATAGAGGTTAAGATTTACAACACATATTTTTGGGGGACATAATTCAATCCATAAAGGGTGCCATCTGAGTCATCTCTAACTTTTGAATTGCTCCTTTTAAAAGGGTTTCTACGCCCTGTTATACTTCTCCTTATAGGAGGGCAGATCTTAGCTGGCGTATGGTGAGGAAGAACCCCCTTCTTCCATATGCTCTGCCTTAGTGTTCAGGTTCTTGAGGAGAGAAAACTCTTTTCCTCCTAATATTTTGAGACAAGCACAGTTCTGTTGTTGAGTGAGACCTTCACGTCCTGAGGCTGGCATGGGTGAGGGTGTGCTTGGGAAGAGTGGTTGACGGGGTTATCCCAGACTGGGCTCACGGTGTGCAGAGCTGCATCACTTGGGGGAAATGAAACCAGACCTTGGGATCTGGTGAAACTAAGAAATTTTGCCTTTAATACCAACAGCAGTACAAACTAAGTAGAAACTGGAACCAGCAAGATTTTGCTCTTTGACGTTTCTTTTTAAGTCACCAGCAGAGAGCATAGGCTCCCCTCTTCTTTCTTTTCTGTTTGTATGTTATTGTCACCTAAGACACCCTAATGAAATCAAAGAACTATGTCACACAACCATTGTGTAACTTCACAGTGGGAGAAGTGACGCTTCTCACCTTCACTCAGTGCTGCTGACCTACTGCCCCAAACTGTCCTTCACTTGTTCATTCAAAATATTTGGGTGCCTAATATGTGCCAGTTTATACAGCAAGATAAATCTAGTTCCTACTCTCAAGAGGTTTATATTCTACATAAGGGTAAAATTGATAATAAACAAGGAAACAAATCAATAAGATCATTTTAGAGCATGGTAAATGAAGTGAATTAACTGGTTGGTTTGTTAACAAGTAATAGGAGTGAGATGGGGATCACTTTGGATAAGATGGCCCACAAAGGCCTCTCTGAAGAGGAAATATTTGACCTGAGATCTAAAGGAGGAGGAGGAGTCAGCCACTCAGAAAGCAGGAAGAGGCCCAGGGAGAAGGAAAGGCAAGTGTAAAGGGCCTTAGTGCAGGCAAGAGCTTGGCATGTTTGAAAAACACCAAGAAAGCCAGTGTGGCTAGAGCATGGTGGGTGAGGGGAGAGGAGGCAAGTTAAGATTGGCAAGGTGGGCAGAGGCCAGAATGAGGGCCTCATCAACCACCTGGTGAGGAGGTAGATTTTATTTTAGGTGCAGCGGGAAGCCATTGAAAGCTTTTAAGCAGTTGAGGATGGAATTTGCTTTATGTCATGGTGGTGGTAGATCCATGACATAAAACCTCATAGCAAGGTATAAGGAGCCTGAGGCCTCTTTGTATCCTGAGCTTCAGTCAGGGAGCCTAAGTCTCAAATTCATCCTTTGTTTACTGCAATTCACTACCAAACCATTTACCCACACTACACTATCTTCTGCTGTGGCCATCCAGTGAGGGGTCCCCCCAACCTTTAAAGTATCAGAGCAGATGGCTTGTGCGGTGGATCAGTAATGTGATCAGGTAGGACAAGACTGTGCTGTACGATCTACAGATACAATGCAATCCCAATACAAATTCCACCGGCATTTTTCAGTGAGATGGAGAAACAAATCACCAACTTCATATGGAAAGGAAAGAGGCCCCGAATAAGTAAAGCATTACTCAAGAAGAAGAACGAAGTGGGAGGCCTCACACTACCTGATTTTAGGACCTGTTATACTGCCGTGGTAGTCAAAACAGCCTGGTACTGGTACAACAACAGATACATAGACCAATGTAACAGAAGTGAGAATCCAGACGTAAATTCATCCACCTATGAGCAGCTGATATTTGACAGAAGGCCCAAAGTCCGTTAATTGGGGAAAAGACAGTCTCTTTAACAAATGGTGCTGGCATAACTAGATATCCATTTGCAAAAAACTGAAACAAGACCCATACCTCACACCATGCACAAAACTAACTCAAAATGGATCAAGGACTTAAATATCAAATCAAAAATGATAAAGATGATGGAAGAAAAAATAGGGACAACGCTAGGAGCGCTAGGAGCCCTAATACATGGTATAAACACAATACGAACCATAAGTAACAATGCGCAGGCACCAGAAGAGAGTAGAGACCAGATAAATGGGAGCTCCTAAAAATCAAACACTTATGCTCATCAAAAGACTTCACCAAAAGAGTAAAAGACAACCTACAGACTGGGAAAAAATATTTGGGTACGATTCATCCAATCTGCATCTAATCCCTAGAATCTACAAGATATAGCAAAACCTCAACAAGAAAAAGACAAATAACCCAATTAAAAAGTGGGCAAAGGATATGAACAGGCACTTCACCAAAGAAGATATTCAGGTGGCTAATAGACACATGAAGAAATGCTCACAATCATTAGCCATTAGAGAAGTGCAGATCAAAACTACAGTGAGGTATCATCTTACCCCAACAAGGCTAGCATTAATCCAAAAAACACAAAATAATAAATGCTGGAGAGGTTGTGGAGAGACTGAACACTTATACACTGTTGGTGGGAATGTAAAATGGTACAAGCACTTTGGAAATCGATTTGGTGCTTCCTTAAAAAGCTAGAAATAAAAGTACCGTATGATCCAGCTATCCTGCTCCTTGGAATATATCCTAGAGAAATAAGAGCCGTCACATGAATAGATGCATGCGCACCCATGTTCATTGCAGCGCTGTTACACAATAACAAAAAGATGGAAACAACCTAGGTGCCCATCAGCGGACGAATGGATAAACAAATTATGGTATGTCCACACAGTGGAATACTACGCAACAATAAAGAATGAAACATCTTATAACATGGAGGAATATAAAGCCGTGAAACATCTTATAACATGGAGGAAGCTGGAGGTCGTTATGCTGAGTGAATTTAGTCAGTCACGGAAGGACAAATATTGTATAAGATCTCTACTATAAGAACTCAAGAAAAGGTTTAAACACAGAAGAAAACATTCTTTTATGGTTACGAGGGTGGGGAGGGATGGTGAGGGTTATTTACTAACTAGGTAGTAGATAAGAATTATCTTAGGGAAAGGAAGGACGGCACTCACTACAGCGGAAGTCAGCACTACCAGACTAAACCAAAGCTAAGACGTTTCCTGAATACAATCAAACGCTTTGAGGGATAGAGTAGCAGGGGTAGGGGTCTGGAGACCATGGTTTCAGGGGACA